CAATTATGCTGAGTCAGGCTTGATTTTTAGTAATCTTTTCCTGTTGAATAAATAAATCAAATCAAATCAATTCATGAAACACAAATACTTCTTAAGTACAGTCCTTTTATTTGAATGATTCTGTCCTGCTGGAGTGTGACATGATTTGTTTGTGTACAAACTAATACGCTATCAGAGTTTTATATATTTATACTTCTCATTCAACCACAGTTAAATTCACTCTATCTAGAAGGCTCAGTTTATATGGATAGTTTTTATTTTTTACAATAACAAGCTGGAATGAAAACAAGCAAAAATGAAATAAAAATAACGACTTTCTACTTCTTGTCTTTTTAAAAAAATGTAACGAGTRTAAAGTGCAGATAATAAATGTGTGAAAATGTAAGAAGTAGAAGTAAAAAGTAGGCTGAAAAAGAATTACTCATGTAAAGTACAGATACCCAAAAATTCTACTTAAGTACAGTAACAAAGTATTTGTACTCGGTTACTTTACAACTCTGTAAATATAGAAACACTCACCAGGATTTGGGGTAAAATAACCCTTGGCCTTGTGTCTGGTTTGTATGAAGGCGTCTTTTTGCTTTCCAGGCACGGTTCTGTATTTCTCAAACACAGGCCCAAATGACACTTTTGGTCTTTCGGACATTTTAGGCAAAGTCGAGCTTTTATTGTGAGGTAGTTCATTCATCAGTGGCCACTCTAACTCAGTCTGATCTGAAAAAATAGAAAAAAAATACAACAAATGAGATTATTGCCTTCAGGAGATCAAGATTAAAATAACTTGGTTTTTGTCTCCCTCTCGTGGTGATAGTGTGTTTTACCTAAACTTTAAATCGCTCTATGCAAAAAGATATTGAAAAGACAGAGTACAAACTCACAGTTTTTAGAGGAGGGGTGCCTCAGGATGGATTTGGCTGATTCCTACAAATCAGAGAGTTATTATTTAATCATTTAAAACAGATTATATTGTTTGACCTGAGAAGAGAAAAATAAATAAATCACCTGTTTTGGAGTTGAACTCCTCTGCTCGGTGAAATCTTTTGCACCTGTCTTTTTAGGTTCTAAGAGAAAAGATACAGTTTGACATTTTAAGATATTTTTTTGTTTGTTTTGGTAAAAACTCTGCTGTGATCATCTTTAAATTTTAATATCTTAATCCTACMCTTTGGTTTCTTGTGAAACAAGTCGGAGTTTTCGTTTCGGTCTCTGTGCTTCGTCTCAACGAGGTTTAACATGATATCGCCGCTGTCAGTAAAAAACAGAAAACCTTATTGGTCAAAACAGTCAACYGATCTGTGATCACTAGGGGGGCATTGATCTTTAAAAAGTCTGACCTGCTGATTTCAATTTTGGCCGATACTGATTTTTCTGTCAGGTGTTATAAGGTCACAATACACCTTTAATGTTGCAATCTTATTTTATTAAAAAACATTTAACAAYACCACTTAACAATAGTGGTTGATTATCAGACATTTATGGAGGTAAATAAAATCAGCGGATAAGGAAATTGAGGCCGTGCACCACTAGGGATCACTGCTTCTTGCAATCRAGAACCAAAAACACAAATAAAACCTATGGCGTGTTTTATAAAAGAATAAACACCAACATTGCTTTCTTTATCTGATACAGCTTTCAGTTYCCACATTGTATTTGACTGAAAGACTAAAACAAACCTGCAGCGTGTGTTAAAATGACAAATGCATATTTTAATAATGACTTTTCTGCGACTTCCTACTGCTGCAGACTCAAAAGCAAAGAAAGAACAAATGTTTTGCTGTGTYTATAAAGTATCAAATCAAATCAACTTTATTTATAAAGCGCTTTGAAACAGCGGCCGCTGACACAAAGTACTGCACATGCCAAAAACAAGAAAACAAATACACGAAAATCAAGCAAAAAAAACAGCTAAAAAAGACCAAGGTCTTAAACTGCAATGAAAAGCAGAAATATTGTGCACTCTCCAGTGTGTGGGGTAGATTTATGGAATGGATTAAATGATAAGCTCAAAAAAAGTACAAACATAAACCAGCTTAAAAAATGTTTAAGAAGAAGCTTACTGGGAAGTTATGTTATGTAGGATGGGTGTCTCAATATTATTTATATTAAAAATGTTTAAATAAGTTACATGTAAGGATGAGAGTGTAAGATTTAAGTGTCATTCAATGTGGGAATAATTGAAGTTTATCTGGTGTGAGAACATTTAAAGGTTTGTAGGTTAGGAGTTTGAGAAGGGCAGGAAATCAAAAGATCTTGTATCTTTTACCTGCTCCTTCTCCATCAAATAATGTGAAAATGACCTGCCTAGAATGGATTATTAGTTTAAGAAAGATTTGTTGGTTCCTTTTTAT